GTACGACCAAAATTGAGTTAGTTACACTTGATGATCAATTTTTAAAAAAATTGCCATTTTTTTTGCACACCACTGTAACTAAAAAATTTAGAAACAGAATTTATAAAATGGATCTTGAATTGCTGACTATAAATAGGTCCGAGAAAATTTATCAAATATTCTTCCCCAAGTAGGTGCCAGTTGGTTTACAGTAATCGCCAGCTTGACACTTTACACATAATTCTTTCTTATGTGGTGGTGACCTTTTTGAAATTTTTAAAGATTCATACTTGACGATAGAGCTTTTACCATTGCATCTTTTACATTTTTGCATATAAAAATCACCCTCACATAACTGTGGTCCTGGGGTTTTATTAATAAATTGTTTTAACAATATCCAAATGTAAGCGCTTTTCCATTTTTTCCGGCAATTTTGGCATTTAAATTCGCCAAATACTCTGTAATAATCTCTCCAAAACAAGTGAAAGATGATCTCGAGGGTGGGTTCACCCGAATATCGTGGTCGTGTATATACGCGGAAACTTGTAATCATATTTTCTCTTTTACAATCACAAGTCTTCTTGAAATTATTATACAAAACTTCAGGAGTTTTATGTTGATAAATTTGGAGGGGACCCAGAAACACCTCTTTCTCTTTTGGTGGGCTAAATTCACAACGATTACATTGCCAAAAACCATAAATGACATTATCAGGGTCAGGGCTTAGAATTTGGTCTAAATGATAGAGGGTTTGAGAAATTTTGTCTCCTTGTTCTTTTATTTTTCCATAACTTCCCTTATACGAGGAAGTCACGTATAGAGGCGTACTTTCTGATATCGAAGAAATTTTCATTCTAGATTGGGCTGCAAAATTGTATTGAAGAGAAGGGGCAGCGTCCTCCTTCTTTTCATAAATTTTTCTTTTTTCAGATTGAGGGAGAGGAGGAAAACTTTCATTAACGAAATTTATTTTCCTTTGGCTTCCTAACCCTCTAGAAGTCGGTTCCTTTTTGTGTTGTGCTCCAGATATTGCATCTCCGAAGGTATAAATATAACGACGGGGATGATAGGTTTCTTCTTCCTCCTCTTCCTCCTCTTCCTCTTCCTCTTCCTCCTCTTCCTCCTCTTCCCTAAGAGTGAAATTTTTTAATCGCGTTGTTACTTCTAGAGTTTGGAAACGAGAAGTGTCTTCTTTTCTGGGCTGTACCGAAGATAGTTTTTGTCCCATGTTCGATGAATGGGGTAGAGAGGACGCAATCCCTTGAGAGTTTGTTACAAATATCGCTTTTGCTGTGTTGTATTGACAGGGGGAATCTCTTGTTGAAGGTGTTCGAATTTCCTCAAATATTGAGGATATACTTTGACCCATTCTGTGAATAGTGTAAAAACAAATATTATCCAAGTTTTGATGAGTCAAGCAACAAATTCAAGTTCGCAATCATACAGACAAATGATGTGTAATATTTATCCTTTGTTGGCTGAAACTTATTCAGACACGTAAGAAAGTATCTATTATAAAATATACATATATATATTTGTAACACTCATCTGACTGTACAATTACAAGATTAGAATAAATGGTCCAAGACTACCTCATAGGCCTAGATAAATGACGGCAAGAAGTCACGATGTGAATATATTTTCCCAATTAAGTCAAGATATGAATATAATTCTATCAAGAGAAGGTTATTTATATTTCATTGAAAAGTGGTAGGTTAGTTCTCAATGTTTCATAGATAATTTTTAATATAGGTACAATAATATAGAAATCAAATTACGTAGTTCTAGTTACGATGTAAAGTAATATAAAAGACAATAACTCTATATAGAAATAGACCGTTTATATTTTAGCGCTTTTATTTCTTAACAGAATGTATCTCGAGGAAATGAATGATTTCGAAAGTATTTATATTAAAAAATTTAAACTAAAATATCTTTAATGATTTGCATAATGAAACATTATTTACTTGTTACATAGCTGTTATTGAATAAAAAATAAAAAAAGTTTTAAATACTTTGTATTCATTTTTAGATCTTTGTTTGGAACTCTACTTTGAATGTTAAAAATCACTACTTTTTCACATTTGATCATCACATCAAACTGGTGAAGATTTTCTATTTTCAAACTCAGTTAGATGCATTTGTAACAAAAGAAAGAGAACAACGATAGTTTGTAGAGCTTGAATCTTGGTCTTAAACAGCAACGCGAGAAACTGAGTTCAAACGAAAGCAAGTTCTTTTTCGGAATACATCATTGTATACATAATAAGTAGTTGTGAACCAAAAATCCAGTCACCTATTAGAGATAACTCATTAGATAACTCATTTCATACAAACAAAGGTTAATATGAACAAGAATTATTATGAAAAAAACTTGGTAACCGTAATTTAAAGCCTGTTTAAGATTTTAATAACTCGGAATATGATTCAAGCATTTTCCTTTCCGCATAGTGACTGGTTTATGTGCCGGGTACATGAAAGGCTCCGAGAAGAATTATTGTTGATGTGTCAGCTTCCTTTGAACATTATATACTAGCTGTATAGTTAAAGCTCTTCCACTTGGATTATTTATTAAATCAGATAAACTTGAATAAATATAATACCTATTAATTTATAATTAATTAAATCGAAAGTTTACTAAATATTGAAAATTTACTAATCAACTATAGCTATCAACTCGCATAACTACATAATTAAGCTTCATATACAGAAGTTATTATAATTTTATTAAGTTCTTCTGCTTTAGATATCCATCAACTCCTAAATCTAGCATGTGTCCAACTCATCATATTTCTAACTGTCTTACTGTTGATTTTTTCTTCCTTGTCTTTTAGACATTTGTTTACTATTAAATTTTATGTCAAAAGTCTAGGTTAATGCATCTTCTCACACGTACTTGAGTACATTTTTTAATGGTACTTTAATGGTGCATAAAATGAAGGCATCATGAGCAAGATCTAGGCAAAAATATAATTGATATCCTTATCACCACTGTTTCCATAGTCAATTGTGGATGAATACCAAGTAAAAAAAGTGCAAACTCCAGAATCAATAGCTGCAACATGAATTTCTTCTGCTTGGTTCTTGCAGATAGACTTTTCATGCATCTATATAAATGTCCAACATTTCGTATATTAATTTTGAATCCATTTTAACTTGACCACTTCTATTTGACCAATTATTATTATGTCTTCAAAATTCATGATGAAATGGTGATTTTGTTTTATGTTGCAGATGTTGGAAAATATATATGTTGTCAAAACTATTGACACTAGTCAAATACAAAAAAAATTACTGTACCAAATGGTAATTCCTATATTATAAATCAGCTAAAATCAGAATTCTTATATCATAGACCAGCTAAAATCAACTATCCTGTTGTATCCTATATTATAAATAAGCTAAAATCAGAATTCCTATTTGTACTTCCTACTCTTTTGTGTTTGACCTGTATAATTTTAGTCAAATGCAATTAAAATTATGAAAATTAGAATTGAGTTATATAAAAAATTAATGCAATTGATTATATGTGTTGTCCAAATCCCTAATAATTCGGAATCTGGAATGCTGAAATTCCAAATTAATAGTACTTGGGATTTGGGATTTTAGCATTTGAAATTTGTGTTTGAACAGCAGATATACAATTAATGAAAATGACACAATTACATAAAATTTCAAGAATTGAGTTAAAATAATGATATGTATTACTAGTCAATACCAGTTAAAAACAAAAGGATCACTGTACCAAATGGTGATTCCTATATTATAGTTTAGCTAAAAATTGGAAAAAATTAATTATTCTATTGCATCCTATATTACAAATCAGCTAAAATCAGAATTCCTTTTCAGTACAGCAATTTTTTGTATTTGACCTGTGCAAATACAAAAAAATTGCTGTACCAAATGGTGATTCCCACTATAGATTAGCTAAAAATCAGAATTCCTATATAATAGACCAGTTAAAAATTGACTGTCCTATTGCATCCTATATTATAAATCAGCTAAAATTAAAATTTCTTTTCAGTACAACTATTCTTTTGTTTTTGACCTGTGTATATTGGAAGGATCTTTCTATTATATAAAAGTCTAATATAAAAATGAAGTACAAATAGCAATTGTTTAACAATTATTTTTCTTAAATTTGAAATATTTGATCTTTACATTGTTGTTATTTCTTCTTATTTCTTGTAATAACTTGCTTGTATAGTATCTGAAATGGATAATCCAATATCTCATATGAAACTCTATTTATAAAAGTACATTTGATTGTATGTTTGATATTTAATCAAAAAAAATTCTAAAGAAAAATTGGGTCATATTTCTATGGTTCAAATGATAATTAGTCACTACTATATTGCAAAATCAATCTAGTGCAACTCATCCATTGTTGAAGTAAAGTTTTTAAGAGGAATTGGAATTATATTTGCATGTAAAATGGTCTATCATAGTAAGTTAAAATATTTTGAAAAACAAAAGTCAAAACAGTTTTTTATAGAAAACAAAATTATTTTACTTAAAATCCAAAACTTTTGATCACTCAAATAAATTCTTTGATTGAAATACACTAAACTGGATTTTTTTTATTTTCATATATAGAATAAATATTTCAAAATTTTAAAAAAATAAATATCTCAAAAATCCAAAATCAAATTTGAAAACATGTATAATTGGAATACATTTGTATTTTAGTAATTTTGTCAGATCTGACCTCTTTTTTCTTTTGGTTTGTTATATTATTTATACTTTTTGTATTTTTTACTTTTTATCTTGTTTTTATTTTCATTTGTATCTAAATATATTAAATCAAATTAAAATTTGATTACTTATTACAAAAATAAAATTTATAGCACTGAAATAATGATCTATTATAATTTATACAATTTATTTTTGAAATTAGGTGAATTAAAAATCCATGGTTATATTATTTTTAAAAAAATATAATTTAATATAAAAAATAAAATATTTACCTAGCAAAATACTTTTAACAAATAAAAACTTATTACGCTGGTTAAAATTTTATAAATACTATATTTATCTAGTATCCAATATAGTGATACTTGACAGAATTAATGAATTGTGACAAGAGTTGTAACTATGAAGTTGTAACTCATAGTTGCAACATTGCACCAATTCACAATGTCACAATTAGGCCACAATGTCACAATTATGTTGCAATGTTGCAATTATGCTGTAATTCCACAATTATGACACAATTATATTATTAATGTAATTATGTATAAGATCAGAAATAATCATCTATGGTTGTTACATATAAAACTTTTTAGTTTATAAGTAAATATTAAAAATGGTATTAATTAATCTTAAAAACAAGAAGGAATACATATTATATAAAAAGAAGAGACATATGCCATCAAAATTGAGAGGACAATTAGTAGAAGGTTTAACAAATGAAAAATTTTAAAATGATAATAGTTCACTAAATTTTGATTATATAGGTCTGTCCTTTTAATATAATATGCAATTGATTTTTGTCTTTGAAATTACTTAATACCATTTTTATATTTTGTATTTGATTATTATTTTTATTTTATTTATATATCTATTCAGTTATTTTATTTAAAATGTATTTTGTAATTCTATTAATGAAATTGATCATTCCATTAATATTCATTCAATTTTTTATTGTCTAATTATCTTGATAGCACCACATAAAAGAAATTTATTTTTATCAAAAAAAATTAATATTCACTTATAATATAAAAAGCTTTATATGTAATAACATTGATAATTTTATTATTTCCATAATTTTTGTAATTCTGGCCAGAATTACAGAAAATTTATGGCAAAAATTTTTCACGGGTGTTTGTGAATATCTCCGTGAATATCGATGTTACAGAAATGAAACACATATAATTTTGTAGCTAATAACAAGGACTTTCTAATAATATCTTAATATAAAATCACACCCTGTCATGTAAATCATGGCTGAATTAAAAAAAAATAAAATTTTTGTGTGTAATCTTCCATTTATTACATAATATTATTAATTTTTTACAATTAGCAAAGTGACTGACAGATATATAAAATCATTGATGTTATAGCATAAAAAACTTTTTATATTATAAGCTAATATTAAAAACAGTACTAAGTAATCTCAAAGACAAAAATTAATTGTATATTATATTAAAATAAAAGACCTATATAATCAAAATTGAACGAATTATTATTATTTTAATTTTTTTGTCTGTTTGAGATTTAACTGCTAATAATTCTCTTAATTTTGATTATATAGGTCTCATATTTTTATATAATATGTTATTTATTCTTTTCTTTAAGATTACTTAATACCATTTTGATATTTACTTATAAACTAAAAAGTTTTATATATAACAACCATCGATTATTATT